CCTAAACCTTGTTATGTTTGCAAGATTTCTACTATAGCGGAAGAGACAGAGACTATAGTTCACATCAGACAGCAGCTGATCTGACGTGTGTTGCGTTTCCAGGGCTGTGTCCGGCAGTGCGCAAAGTTTAGCCTTTCAGCTAATGCGACCTTTTCCCGTTACATTAGCGCTAAACTTATAACTTGCGCAATGGTGAAGAAAGGTAAAAGGGAAAGCGAAACTCCAACAAAAGATACAGTAAGTTAATTAAACTCAAACTAAAATGAATCATTGTGAATAATGTATTCATTAGTTTTTATGGTAGTAGTAGTAATTATCTGTAAAATTGAATAGGCTATTACAGATAATAAGTGTACTATTATCTGGTGTGACAGATGTTGGTTGTTCCACAATTACAGCTTATAACCACAAAAGCATATTTTATTTTTCTTCTACCAAGTTTGATCCGGTCGCAGTTGAAGGCAAAACTCCAGCAACAGTTGTTCTCCTGTTGAACTCTCCTGAAGAAGAAATCCTTATAAAAGCTTGTGAAACAATTCATGCATTTGCAGACAGAGGTAGAGTATGTAATTAACAGTAATAATACATATTAGTTAAATAGTAGCCTTCTATATTTGGCTCACTGTCTCCATCTGTTGTCAGGAGATGAAAACAAGGTGTCACTTCTGGGCCTTGGGGCCTTGGAGCCTTTATGTCAGCTCATCACTCATGGTAACAAGCTGGTCAGACGCTGTGCTTTCATGGCCCTGGGCGTCATGTCCACCCACAGTGAGTGAGCAACATCTGTGAGCACTCACCTACACACTAAGATACGGAGTGCTTACTATAATCCCTTTGTTTCAATTACAGCTGAAGTGAAAAATGCATTGCAGAAATGTAACATAATTCCATCCATTATTGACAAGCTCTCTCCACAAGGTGAGTTATCATGCACTTTTAACGTTTTATAATTTATTATGATTTTCAAAATACAATAAATGCAATTAATCTGCAGAGGAGACAGTTGTTCATGAGTTTGGGACTCTGTGTCTGGCTTCAATGTCAGTGGATTTTGTCAGTAAAGCACTGATCTTTGACAATAATGGTTTGCTGCCAGTGATTCGACTTCTCTCCAGTCCTGATCCAGATGTAGTCAAAAATTCACTGGAGATAATTTTCAATCAAATTCAGGTGACTCTGTGTATTTTTAACACATACACTACAGAACTCACTTCATGTTCTATGTGTCTAACTATTGTCTATTCTTGTGTGTAAAGGATTACCCAAGTCGCTCAGCCATACATGAACTTGGAGGCATACCACACCTACTGGCCCAGCTGAAGTCAGAATTTCCTGTAATTCAACAACTGGCTTTAAAAATACTGCAGAATATCACAATAGATAAAGACACACGCATTACCTTTAGAGAAGAGCAAGGATTTGAAAAGCTCATAGATATTCTTAAAAATAAGGTAATGTTAACAGCAGTGTCAGATCAGTCATGGACACAGCTTTTTACCATGAAAACTCAAACATTTTGTTTTGTGCATCGTCTTTTCACAGGACCTACATGACCTTCATGCTGGCTCATTACATATTGTTGCAAACTGTTTAAATGATAGTGAATGTTTCCAGCTTATTCACAAAGGTGGAGGTCTGGCCCAGCTGATGGAGTTTATCCTCAGTCCAACACTGCCAGAAATCCAGGCCAATGCTGTAAAATGTATTGCCAGAGTGGCTCAGAGCTGTAAGCACAACCATCTCACTTCTGTTTAAATGTTGTTTATTATGTGACTGTGTGGATAGGAGAATATTTACATCGAATCTATTGTGCAGCTGAGAATCGCAACATTCTTCATGAGCAAAATGTGGAGAAGGTTTTAGTGGAGCTCTTCTCTGTGAATGATGACAGAGTAAAAGCAGCAGTCAGCCAGGCTGTGTCTGCCATGAGCACCAACCTCGCCAGTAAAGAGGTCCTCAGGGAGCTTGGTACATGGGCAATTACAAACAACAACAAAGAATTAGCACACATTACATCTAGTGTCTAATTAATATGTGTTCATTATAGGGGCTATACATCCACTGGTACGGCTATTGAGCAGTGAGGCTTCATCTGTAAAACGGGACGCATCAAGAGCACTTTCTGATCTTACCCACAACAATCTCCTTAATGTGATGTGAGTCAAAAGTACCACTGTATTCTATGTTTATGTGCAGTTGTGTGCTCACCTGTTTTGCCCTTGTAAAAATCAGTGTTGCTGTTTATCTTAAAGGGCTGTGTATGAAGTCACAGGTCATGAGCCACTGGTCCGGCTGCTCACTGAACAGTGTCTTGAGACTGTGGCCAGTTCTGCTGCAACTCTGAGCAACATGGCGGGACAGGAGGAGATCCGCTACAGTATTTTGTCCCAAAATGCTTTGCCAGCCCTTGTGCAGCCTCTGAAGTCCAAAGATTCTCACGTTCTAATCAGCTCAGCACTCTGTGTCGCAACTCTGGCTTGTGACACCGCATCTAGGACAGAGGTATAAATATTTAAGAAACAAGTATTTTTTTTTAAAAAAGGATTACAGTTTAATTTCAATATTATCCTTGCCCTCTTTTGTGAAGTTTAAAAATGCTGGAGGTCTTCCACCACTGGTCAATTTACTGGACTCTAAATACAAAGATGTTCAGAAGATGGCTTCCTTAGCTGTCAAGGCATGTGCCTGTGATGGGCCGTGTGCAGTGGAGATGTGTGTATTGGGGTAAGATCAGAATTGTTATGGATAATGTACGCTTAAAATATAGTCTATGTTTTGGAACGTGTATCAAAGAAATCATTTAGTGTCAAACTGAGGTGATTTACAAAATAGCCACTAGATGTCAGCATTTGGCAGCATAATAATTTCCTATATTACGCTCATCTGTAAGTACCTCTGCTTATACCAATGTACTATGTTTCCAGAGGTCTGGAAAAACTTCAGAAGATCAACCAATCAGAACACCAAAAAACTGTTTTCAGTGAAATGGCAATGACGAGCCTGCTGAATTTTAACCTGCCAGTTAAATACAGCCTAACAGGCTTTTTGTCTCCCACTGACCATGTCACAGATCTTTTTTATGATTCTGGGAAGGTGCGTGCGATTAAAGAGAAGGAATCAAAGTGTCAGTACATGTAACAGTAACAGTAACAGCTGTGACATGTGTGTTTTGTCTCTTCAGGCTGTGGCAGGTCAAAGAGTCCTATCTCTGGAGGAGCACTACGGGCAACCTGTGAATCAGCACAGGGCCATTATCGTGATTAACATGGCCAAGCATGCAGCTGAGTAAGACCTCAATAAACACTCATATCACCGCAACACAGCATTTTCAACCTCTTAATTATTTTTTATCACTATCAGTTTTAAGTAATTATCTTTTTCTTAGCTCTGAAGTACACCCTTTCTGTATTATCCTTTTATTAAAATTGTATTTTGCTTTTGTTGTAGCCACACAAGGTATTTAAGTGGCACTCTCAATGCAAAAATGTACTCATATTAGAGTATTGAATAAACCATTCAAAGAAGTCACACGAAAGAGAGGCAGTAGTGCCATTGTAATAGTGTCTTATTTTCCCTGTGGAATTTCATAGAGAGACAGTTGTTTGTACAGAAGAAAAGCAGCACCATTTATCTGGAACAGACATCAGCGTAAAGGGGGAGACACCAAGGTTAGAGTTTGTCTCTGGTGGACTCTTTCATAAATTACACATGCTAAAACCTGTGAGGTGTATGAATGGAAAAGTGTTTTTTCTAACAGGAAGAAAAAGGAAGAGGACAAACCAAAGAATAAGGATCTCCCTCGTGCAGTCTCTCAGTCCCCTCTTCAGAGACACTGTAAGATGTTGAATGACCAAACACTGGAGACTTTGGTTCAGGAGGCCAAAGAAAGTGTCCTGCTTATGGATGATGACATGTTGCAATACTCTGCTTTGGCCAGGTAAATATTAGTTTAAAATAACTTTATTTCTTATTATTCCACCAACATGCAGACTCTTATATGGTGATGCACTAATCAAGCTTAACTAATAATAGTGATAAATATGTAATCCCTCAGTTGTCCAGGTAGATTCTATAGCAAAAGAAAATAGAATTCTGTCAATTGGACTAAAGTTGAGAAATGAAAATGAAATGAGAAACTAGCGGCCTCATGCAGCCCCATAGCACAAATTGCATTATGCTGGGAATTCATGATATAAAGTATGGACCGTTGTCATAGCAACAGACAATTCAAAACAAATTAATATGTCTTTTTAATAGCTAACAGTAGTTAATACATATTTTAAAACTTTTGTGTTAGGATGGTAAGCAAGGCCATGGGCGGAGAGGTGGACACGAAAAATATGGCCACATTCGAATGGACCCTTCACATCAGCGAGCTCAAATTTGAGTTACAGTCTAATGTAGTGCCTATTGGCATGATAAAGAAAGGAACCTACTACCACAGGGCACTTCTCTTCAAGGTTCCATACAACACTGGAAAATATTCCTTGAGTAATGTACTGTACTATTTCTATTTCATTGTAATGATTTTATTGCAGTGCCTGGCAGACAGCATTGGACTGAGTTGTTCACTTGTCAGAGGAGAGTATAACCGAGCCTGGAACGAAGTACAGGTGTTGGATGGACAAGCACAGCGTTATGTTGTGGACCTCATGCACAAGCCTGGCAGTCTCCTGAAAATCAACACACCAGCTGCAGAAAAATATCAAAACATATAACCCAGATAATCAAGAAACACTAACAATAAAAGTGCCATTGTATAATTTGGAGATGTGAATAGTAATTCATTTTAATTTTTTAATTTTAATTTTAATTTTAATTTTAAAAGCAGCTTACTACAATACTTTGAACAAACGAACAAAAAGGACACGTAGGCCAACTATTCGCCGGATAATGATAAGCCTATATTTACGCACTAGTGAGACATTTCTAAACAATAAAGCAATTAACATACTTCCAGAAGCTATAAAACATGAACTTACTCTACCTTGACCTACATATAGGCCTACATGTGTCTACTTTTTGACCCCGGTCAGATCTGTCCAGCGTGAACTCGCCGCGTTATGCACTCGCGCCTAGCACAGTAGACCCGTGCACTTGACTCCACAGCCCAGACGATTCACTGCACAGACGATACAAACAAAATGTCCAGATTCGCTACTCGTCTTTTTGCGGTCGTTTTCCAAGCTCCTGTTAGAAATATTGCGTTACCAAGAAAAAACTCAGGAATGGTGCGCCTTTTAAGCACAAGTAACGGTAAGAATAAACATTTTGGTCTGTTACAAAGTGTGTTCTTGAACGTAGCGTGCAATTGTTCGTAACCAACATCTTTTTAGTGAGCAGTGAGGCTATTAAACTTTGTATTCAAACCAATTATTGTTGTCTAATATTATTATTGTCTAATTCTACTGTGCATGAATCTGTTTCAAAGAAGTGTTTGTAATAACTTTTAAGTACAAAATCATCATTGATAAAGCCTCTTTGAGGATTATTTGTTGCACGCTGGGAACATCCACATTTAGTACTGCCTAAAGGTCATATACATTGTTAAGTGGAGCTATGGCAACCTCTGTGATGTATGAATGTGTTTCTGCTTAAAGCTGTTCACTCTCTCACTCGCTATAATGAGACCACGGACTGGCAAAAGAAGCTGAGCCCAGAGGAGTATGTGGTGACCAGAGAGAAGGGGACCGAGGAGGTAACTAGGCTGCACTTGCATTGCTTCATTAAACTATAGTAGAGCTATGCACAGGGGCCCAGTATTTTCTGCCTCCCCATATAGCTAAGCGACCCATATAGACCAACTTAAGAGCCCATGTGGACTTTGATCTCTCTTGTCTTGTTGACCCAGGTCAAGTTCAGTTTAACCACGTTCTGACAAGTTACCCCATACACACCAATTGTTATTCAAAACATATCCAATTTAGCTGTTAAACCAAAAGAGAGGAATCAGGTGTCTTCATATTCATCTTTTGCTATAGTGTTATGTGTTATGTCTTATGCCTTATGACACTTATGTCCTCTGACTTGTGTCTTATTGGCCAAAAGCAAGAGATTGTTCAGGTTGTTAAGTAAATTTACCAAGTGTTGCTCTCATATTTCACTAATGTTCTAATAATAATATGTTCTAATAAGAGCGCTGGATAATATTGCTTTTACTGAATGTATGGTTTTATGATTTCAGCCCTTCAGTGGCCTCTACCTCAACCATAATGAAGTGGGAATGTACCACTGTGTCTGCTGTGATGCCCCGCTCTTCAGGTACTACTCAAATCAAGAAATAGTTGATTTAGTTTATAGTTGATTTCTTCAAAATGGGTGCAATATGTAATATACTTTTTAAACCAGGAATGTCCCTTGAAATAGATTATGTTTTCAGTGTATTTGTATATCTTTTCTTTCCAGCTCAGAGGCAAAGTATGACTCTGGTACAGGCTGGCCCTCATTCAGAGAGGCTCATGGGACATGGGAGGGGGACGAGAGCCTCACGTCCATCATCCGTCGCCCTGACAACAGCTTGGGCAGCGCTGGCACAGAAGTCCTTTGTAAAAATGTAAGTTGGGTCAAGTAAAATAAGATCTGCTTATTTCTTCATTAATATTTTGTATTTTTTGTGTTTTTGTGCAGTGTGACGCTCACCTTGGACATGTCTTTGAGGATGGACCAGACCCAACTGGACACCGGTTCTGCATTAATAGTGTGGCCCTAAAATTTAAACCCAGAGACAATAACAAACCTGAAGAACACTGAAAACACTTCGGCTAAATCAGCAAAAGACAATGTTCATATTTTCTTCACCTTGCTCTACATTTTTACAGAAACTCTCCTCATAAGTTTACATTTTCTGATATTAAATGAAGCTGTAATTAAATCATTGAAGATGCTGATTATATACCCAGAATGCATGTAGAGATTTATCTCAAATAAAACTTTTGATGTGAATAGTTCACTCCCTGTCGCCCCCTGTGTCTAAGGTAGGTATTGCCTCACCAGTGTGTCAATATTTAACTGTTTGTCAAACACTGTCTCCTGGACTTTTGGTTGGGGGGGGCTTTAAATCAAACATAAGTCAAACTCAGATAGGAGCAAAGGAGAGAGTGAATAAGTCTATGTATTCAAGGATTATGGCTGAACGACTGCGTTATATGATTGTTGTTCTGGTGATGGTGTGGGCCATAAGTGAAATCGGAGAAGGAGCAAAGAGTCGACCCCGCCCTCAAAGACCCCCAAGGAAAAAAGATCCAGAAGAAGAGATCCCAAACCCACCGGAGAGAAACATAGACATCAATCAGGTAAGAAAGTATGGCATTGTTCTAAGCATCAGGCAAAAGCAAAGAACATTTCAAACGCAACCAAAAGTACAGTAATTTAAGTACATTTGTAAATCTATTCCAAACATGTTTAACGTTTTTTCTGACCTTTGCACATTGTTGAGTCTGCAGCTGTTTGCACCACAATGAGTCAATGGACAAACTCAGATGACTGGAAATGATAAAGAATACACCATGGCCTAATTATTGGGACATTAAAAACAGAAACATGAAACATTTCATGGTTCTTTTTGTTGACATATTACATATGCAAAATATACAGAGGGAAATGTGGATCTTTTATTTCGTATTAGAGTAAAATAAATGTTTGAAAATTTGGCAAAAAATTCAAATTTTGCCTATTTTTTGGAGTTAAAACTTAAAAACCTAAATAAATCTGATTTGGAATTAGATCTAAAAATCCTTCTGTAAGTTTTGGCAAAAAAGTTTTGTTTGGTGTATGTAGGTGATCCATTAAATTCTGTGGGGGCAGGTTGAATAAAATATTGAAACACCTGGATAATTCTCTTGTGTTTGCATGAAAGCTTGTAGTTTAAGAGAACCAAATGACCAAAAATGAAAAAAACAAACAAAAAAAAACTAAGTTTGCCCCTTAAAATAACTCAATTTTTAAAAGAACGTTAAAAATCCTTGTTGCTAAATTGGTTGACTGGCATCTTATGAGACACATAGTCCATATACTGCATGTTTGGAGCTCCTACTATGGCTTTAGAGGGGGTTCAAACCAAAGAGTGGTTTATGTTGGTGCCAAAAGGTTTACAAAAAGAGGAGGATAACAAATCACATACTAGGCCTATCTGTAAATGGCCCCAGGGTGCTATCTGAAACACTATTTACATCTAAAGGCTTTTGAGCCCACCTCCTCCAAGGCTCCACATCTTCACTTAGGATACAGACCTTGACTAAAGAACGTAAAAATAGAGCTTTTTCATGAAGTCATATGTATTGTTCCTAAAAGACAAGACAAAGCCTACTGTAAAACATATAGTATTTGTATCTTTTGTCAATATTGGCTTATATTTGTTATCTGCCGCAAGACATCAGATGTCAGATGAAAACCAAAATACATTAACAGCCACAGAACATAAGCTGATTTCCTGCTGTTTTGTGTGACTCAGATGTTGGGAAAGTGGTACCTGCTGAACATGGCCTCCAAATGCTCTCACCTAATGACCCATGGACACAATGCAGAAGCCACCACCATGACACTGGACCTGACCACATTTGGAAAAGAGCAAAAGCTGTCTGTCAAAACTACTACAAGACAGTGAGTTCTGCACCATACTGTTCCTAATTTATGAAAACCAAAATACAAGCACTTATAAAATGAATTTGTTTTTATTAGTAATAGTAATAAATTAAGCTGTATAGATATAACATAACCTTTAGTACAATATTCAGTATTGATTTACTTAAATTTAAATGTCCTATATTACGCCAAATTGACTCTTGAGAGCTTTGAGCATGTTAGAATGATGATACCTCCTCAAAAACATACCTGGAGTTGTGTTTGTTTCATTCACACATGTTTGAGTAACCCTTTATTATTAGTCTGTTTACATCTCCAATGCTCAAAATTCTTTGTTCCACCTTGTGAGGTCATGAAGTAGAGATGGGAAATTCCAAGACTGAAATCATCTAAATGATTCTAGTGAAGGTGTATGCTTTTTAAAAACAGTGGAACAACTCCTGTTTTACCACATGACATCACAAGGTGGAATGGGGTGTTTTCTGTTTGAGAAACTACCACAGCCTAAATATGCAACATGTGTGAATGAAACAAAACACAACTGTGATATCTTTTGATGAAGAACCATAATATAACAGATCAGAAAATAGTGTAATATGTGCTCTTTAAACTATGGTTGTGCAGTAATCATCAGTGTTGGGAGATCCATCAGCTCTACGATTTTACAAAAACCAGTGGCTTCTTCACACTCAAAGGTAATTTAATATTATTTTCAGCATAGTAAATAATAAGTACAAGTAAGTTTAGGCTAGTAATGTTAACTGTGTTCCTTGAATCAGGAAACGACCCAAAAATAGACACCAAAGTGACTATACTGGACACAGATTACACTTCCTATGCAATCTTCGTTTATGAGATTCAGAAAAAGAAAGTGAGGAAAACCAGCTTGAAGCTATATGGTAAGTATAATTCCAGTTGTTTTACTATTGCCTTTTGTACTTTTCCTGAACTGGATTATGTCTCTTTATGGCAGCCAGGAGCGTAGCAGAACTGCATGAACCAACATTGCTTAAGTTTGAGGCTGTTGCTGCAACCAAGAATTTTGGACTGGCTTTTATGTTTCCCTTTCCAACATATAGTATGTCAACAGTACAAAATACACTTTTTTTTCTTATTAATCCCCACAGTGTATAATATTAATGCATATATTTTGCCTCTAGGTCACTGTGACACTGTGGATGAAGACCATATTATCAGTAAGTTTGATTTTATGGTGTAAAAATGTTGTTTATATTAATCACTTCAACTCAGTCTAATGAAATTCTAAGAAAAACACATTTTTACAGACTGCATCCCAACATGTTGAAGTACAGCCCTGAAGAAATCAGGATCAACAAACCCCAAATCTAAATTCATTAAATAGAGTGGTTACTGCAAAATATACTTTAAGTGCTTTTTGCTGTTTTGTACTTTGTGTTTGAGGTTTGTGGTTGTGAACAAAATGAAGCCAGATGTGGAGGGGCCATCTTGGGTCGACTGAGTTTGGTTACAAAACTAAAGGAGTTACCAAATGCTCTTGTGGAACAACCCCCACTTCTCTCCACACCTTCTGCATTATATGAGGGAGCTGTTACATAAGCAGCCAGCAGCATGCTGGGTCAAGTCAGGCCCTGAACAAAAAGAGACATCAACATTCATAGAAAGCTCTATAAGCAAGTTTGTAAACACATGTTGGTCCAAAATATAGGCTTTACACACAATAAGTGCCTCAAACCCATGTGCAATATTGTTAATTTCGTAATGGGCTAAACAAGAATGTAGTATCCTTATGTAGTCTATGGTAGTACCAGAAAAGAAAATGAATTATGAAAGTTTAAGGAAGATTTTTGCAAGATTTCTTTAGCCTTTTTTAGCCATGTTGTGGAATTTTGCATCCACTGCATTGTCGTAGCAAAGACACTTCCAGTTCATTATTGACATTTCTCTGTGGTTAGCTCTGGCGTCAAACCAGTACAGAATTTGTGCTTCTCTAACATCATCAATTTTGGTCAACGTGTCCCAGAAACGGTATGATATGCTCTTCTCTTTTTATCTCAGCCAGCTTGTGTCCAAGCTGTCCTTCTTAGCAACGTCCTTGTGTGGAAACATAGTCAGGCTTAAATAGCCACTACTGTTCACCAGGTTCCAGACTGATGGTAAATAAACTTCTTCTGTCTCTGACTGAAGAGTCTCTGCCTCTCTCTAGGACTCATTAGGACAACATTTATTTTCCCTAACAGTTCACATCAGTTGGCTCTGTTTTATGTGCAGATTTATCTACACATTAATTTGGAAGTTTTTTTTTTCTGCAGGATTCTCTCTGTGAGCTCCTGTCATGTGGTCTATTCCAGATATAAGGTACATATTATAATTAAATGCTATATTTAAAATCCTCAAATGAATGAATTTATGTATTAATTAATTACTCTTAGTTTTAGTTTTGGTTAGAACTTTTGTTTCTCCGTCTGCATTTGCTTTTGGCATGCACCATGTGGTTAGGTAATTTGAATCGTTACCAAACTGATGTTTTGAAAATCCAGGCATGTCTGAGCATTTGTGAGGGAGGAGGGACCACAGTGGAGAGCTATTATGTAGCTTCACTTCACTCTCTCCTCTCTCTGTGCCTGCCTCCCCCCTCCTCTATTCCCCAATTCAAGCTTGTTGTGCAACAGAGGTCATTTGCATGCTTGGTTCCTGGGCCAGTGCTTTTGGGAGCCTCTCTGTGGGTGGGACTACAGAGGAGATTGGGGAGGAATTCAGTTATCTGGGACAATATAAGGAACCCTACAGTCTGCTTGCTTTTGTTCTGCACCCTTCTCCTCACTCTCAATTTGTGGAACGAGACCACCGGCACACCATGGAGATGACGCTGCTGAAGATGCTGGGAGTTCTGCTGTGCGCGCTGGTAGCCTGTGCAGAAGTTGCTCCTGTAGCTGAATTTGACCTGGCAAAGGTAGATAAAACAAGATTTTGTTTCTATAATTTCTTTTAACTTACAATGAACCACAAGTTAATGAATCTGTAAACTCATAAATCCTATGTCACTTCAAAATGCAAATGTAGTAGTTATATGATTTTGTAGAATGTGTATCAAGTCTTACATGTGTATTGCAGATGGCTGGGAAGTGGTACATTGTCGGGTTTGCCACCAACTCCCAGTGGTTTGTGAGCCATAAAGATAGCATGAAGATGGGGACCTCTATCATGACCCCAACTGACATTGGAGACATTGACCTTAACTATGCTAACCTAAAGTAAGTAAAGGAGAGCATTTTGTAAGAAATGTAGACATAGAAAATTAGACAATATAAATTTTTTTTTGTTATTTTAGTTCTGATGGATCATGCTGGAGAATGACCCACCTGGCCAAGAAAACAGATACACCAGGGCGTTTCACTTTCCACAGTCAAAGTAAGGCACTCACTGAAAATATAACCGAGGTCAAGTGTTTACAATGCATTTAACAGTTCATTTCTATCTAACAGGGTGGAACAATGACAATGATATGCGCGTTGTTGATGTAATTTATGACGACTATGCTCTGATTCACACTATTAAGACCAAGGATGGCGTGTCAGAAGTCCTTAACAAATTATACAGTAAGTTCATTTGGCGGAGATTTTACTTTGTGTTTATCAATTAAATGGTATTAAAGCTAACTATATTATATTACAGGCCGTACTCCCCAGGTCAGTGAAGACTTACAGCTGAAATTCAGACAATTCTCTCTTGACACTGGTGTTCTGGCTGAAAATACTGTGATTCTGCCTCCAAATGGTAAATCAAATAAAAATACATTCACATTGTATCATACTTATTGATTAAATGTAACTCATCTTGTATTTTTGACCACAGCTGAGTGCCCAGCAGCCTAAGAAGTCCACTCCACTTCACCACAGGCATCATTCGACCCATTTCCACTGCCAAAAACACTTGCAAAACTTCAGCTGTTTAGACAAACCAAAGACCAAACTGCAAATCTGTGGCATTCTTCTTCAGTATCTCAGAGACTTGTTTAAAAATTGAGAGAGATCTTAAGGGCTGTAGAAGCTGCTTTTGTACCTTATGAATGTTTTTCTAGGAGAGCTGGTTTCTTTTGTATGTTTTTTTTAATTCTGATGAATTCAATAAAATATAAAAAACAATGATGTGGTTATTGTGCCCCCACGTGGAAATTATATTAAATATGTACTATTTACTATATAATATTTAACATATTAAACTACACGAGTCACAAAATAACCTCTTATAGTCAACCACAAACAACAATTTTCTTTTTCAAAATTGTCATATGTAATAGTGAAAGTTTCAGCGCTCCATGTACCATAACAGATAAATGGATCCAGGTCTGCAGAATTTAGTCTCTGCTCTTCTCTATTATCACCACTAGAGGTCTCATGTCTATAAAATCACGTGGCCCAATTTAAGTTTTGCTCCATGAAAAAGGCTAATTTAACCAGGATAAAACACTCTTTATTGAACTCAACAAAACTGAAAGCAAAATTATGGGAAGTGGGTTGCTGAAACACACATCAAGGGTTGTGTGGTTAATACATCATAGTAAATAAAGTAAAAATCAGTAGTTTGCCTTCATGGATAGATGAAGTCTTGTTTGAGGATCTGGCTGAAGGAAGGCTGAGCTCACCAGCTGTCCGCATGTCGAAACCTACCCATGATGCAACAGCGATGCACAAATCAATAGGCAGACATACAGAAAGCAACATCACATTCTGTTGGCAACTTGTATAAAGATAATGACAAAACTATTACACTAACAAATACTTCCTTCTTATGCCCTTTGACACCTCCGTAGCCTCATACAGTTTTGTACACTTCACATAGACTGGCCATTTACAATCAAACTGCACTTTTTGCATATAAGAAATGTTTTCAATTTTGGAATTGAAAAGTTGGTTTGAGAGGATTAAACAGAGCATCATTAAGACATTTTAAAAGCTCTCGTCAACGTGGATCCATGCAGCAGGTCATTTGCTCAATAATGTGAGGGCTTCAAGGCACAGTAAGTTAATAAAAAGCCAATTATCCCCTCACCTCGCCCGGACCCCTGAACAATTACATTTGTCAGACACTCTGTATTTCATGCTGCTTAAATCACTTAATGATTGGAGTTCAGTGCATCATTTAATACAATTTCTTCCATACCTGCTGTCTGCCTGGGTACACTGATTCTAATGGGTGTGAGCAGTCAACAGACATCACCAATAGTAATACTGCTAGCAACAACAGTATTATAGAAAAATGGGTCTAATTCACTGGGTACATTTCTCTACAGGGACAATAAAGAATAAAGTTACATTGTTAGTTTACTTTAGTAATTCAATTCAAGTGTAACTTCATAGATTAATGGACACACTGAGATATTCTGAGCATTTCCTTATTGTAGTGTTGACATATGAATTTGAATGTAGAAGGCAGATGTTGTGTACTGACAACAATAAAAGAATTAAGAAAGTAAATTTGAGTTTTATGCATTATGCTATCAGTTGGGAAATCTTCACTGTCTCTGTGTGTACATAATCTACTTTATATTGTATATGCGTTACTTGGAATTGAATCATTAGTTCATTAGTTCAATCGATTTGCATTGGTGTACAGACATGGACAGGTAAACAGACTCAAGTATTTGGATAAAACATGATTGCTGAGTGAATAAATGCTCTGCTTTCACTCAGTGCTAAAGTGAAAAGTGGAAAAAAAAGCTGCCAAGCTGAGCTAATCCAACACAATCACAAAGCAACGGTTTCCCATCAAACTCTGGAACATCCTTCGGAGCGCCCCCTGCCTTTCATGTCTCGCCACAACATAAATATATTTATACACAATAGACACGTGACTTCATATAAATCTTAATAGTGATTTGTAACTAAATCTCTGAATAAATGCTTTGAAAAAAAAAAAATAAAACTATATTTACAAGTGACTTTTGGCATTCATATTAAACTATATTACCACAATACAAAGTGGCACATCTGTTGCATTGCATGGACATGAATAAGGGACCGAAAACTCAACTGGACAAACTCAATTCTGGTTTTAAACGTTCAATAATAGAACATCATTAGATAGAAGATTTCTGTTTAAAAAATCTAATCAAATTGCAACAGAGATTTGTGATAAAACCTGTGCTATCACACCCAGTTAAGAGTAAGTATTTGTCATGTACAGTATTCAAAGTACTGAAAACTCCCAAGCACAATACAAAGAAGGACAAGCCAGTTTAGTATGTACAGACTCACAGTCGCGCTCCACTGGCCCCTCTTCTTGCTCTAATACTGGATATATAAAAAATCAAAACAAAACTAATCGTAAAGGAAATCTTATACAGCACTGCTGTCTCTGGGAGAGTCTCAGTAAGTGGCCATTTCCTTGTAACGCAGATTGGCCACTGAATTAAAATCTCATCCGCCTTTGGGACAGTCTGGCGGACCTCATGTGGTACAAAGGTCTTGATAGTGAGCAGATGTTATATGAACCACTCTTTCTTTGACTCATCGATGGTCTCTGGGTTGTCCGCTCCGATGATGGCGGTGTCCGCAGACTCTGCCGCAGACTCGGCGCTGCCCTTGGCTTCATTGGTGTGGTACGTGCCTTTATGACGGAACATGTAGCGGATCAGAAACACCAGAGTACACAGGATGGTGAAGATCACGACTGCTATGATCCCTGGGGATGGATACAAAAGGATAGTAAAGGGTTAATTTACAGTGTTCAATATATTATAAGATGTTCTGATAAGATTTAAAATGGTATGGACCAATAAAGACATTATAGATAGAGATATAGTATTGTGTGCAGATATAAAAATGTATAATTTGTATAATCCTAGTGGTTTACATGCACAATAGATAAAATGGGTAATAAAAGATAATAATTCGGTTCTCCTGTATTCAGCCTCACATTTTACTATGTGCAGTTTTATGTATTTTAGCATGTTAGTGTGTGTGAATGTATGTGCATGTTTGTGCGTGTGTGTGTTTATGTGTGCGTGTGCACATGTGTGTGTGTCTGGGTTGTTTGGTTGTGTGGGGTCAGGCAGCTGTGGGGGTTGGTGGGTAGAATGAAATGTGGGGTCACTGTAAAGCACTTTGCGTTACATTTTTGTATGAAAAGCGCTTTATAAATAAAGTTTGATTTGATTTGAAGCTACAGTAGTCCTGACCAAGCGTAGCTCAATGGGGTTTCATATGTAGCTCCTGCTCCTGAGGACAAATTTCCCCATGGGGGCAATAAAGGCTTAACCTTATCTTTGCCAATTAACCGCTATGTTTACCACAATTATGTTGCATTTATTGTGTTAATAATGAATGTTAAGACATAACATTCAGACATACTGTAATAGGCTCATTAACTCAATTATTACAGTTACAATATCAGTATTTGAAGCTATCATGCAGTATTGATAGCTTACATGATCAACATTACCATTTAAAACAGACAGCGAGACAAATTCATTGTTTCAGACTGTTGAGTGGTGGTGTATGTTTGGTTCTGTGCATTAACAGTCTACTGGATTCCTGGCATACCTCCTATAATGGCCGAATCTCTGTTGACTCCATCAGGAATCACTCTCTCCTCATTGAAGGGGAACTCTGCATCTAAAAGGTAAACAATACATTCTAAAATACACAACACAAAATCATGTAATTTCTACAGAGAACAGGAAAGTTTCACAACAGAAAGGAAATCAGTGCAAGACAGACAGTATCTAATAGCTGTATGAATTATAGATTACATGTCTGTGTGCAAATGTAAAGGAGACAAAAGTCAAATCTATTTATTGGATGGATGTGTTGAAAGCCGTTCAAAATGTAGACACTGAAATTAAGATCAATGCACACGATCAATGTCTAATAGCTCTTCACTCCCGAAGGCCCAGTTGGAACTGAGCCAACAGCATTTACTATAATGAAAAACTAAATGCTGCAATGTAATGTAACAGTAGATTCACTAGTCAAGGATGCTTATTTGTGTGGTTTGCACTAACCTAGTTTTACATTAAGATTTGCATTTTTGACAAATATTAGCCATAAATTTATGTACAAAAGCTAGTTGCTATAGAAATGCATATTTTGTTCTAATAACTATTTATAAATTGGCTACCATCAAAAAAGATGATGGAAAACAGCCCATGGTAGGACTGTTTGGGTCCGAAAGTCTCAACGACTGCAACAGTACAAGTTACATTACAATTACAGTTTGGAGCAATTTTGATAAGTTGTGAAATATATACATGGTAAAACTTGAAACTTGAGCAAAGTTCAACATTATTTTGCTGTGGACCCTAATAACAACTGAAGGATTACAGAGACATCCGGTCCATTGTATCATGATATTTTGTGTATGAAAATATTAAACCATGTTCCATAAGTGTACATGATGTACCTGTGTTGTCCAGATGCCAGGGGTCAGTTGCTGCAGACATTGGTGGGATGGTGAGAGGAGAGGCCCCACAGTTGGACTGGAGCAGTTTTCCCTGGTGGGATACAGGTGAGGGCGGCCGGTCGTTCTGTGCGTCTGTGGATCTGTGTTTAGACTGTGCAGCAGCTCTCAGAGCAGCCTTCAGAGGAGCAATAGTGTTGAACTGAACTCTGGACAAACAGCCCACAAAACCAGGACTGTTGTAGTGCTCGATCACTGCTGGGTCCACGTAGCCCGTTTCTACAAAGAGACAAATGTACAATATAAATTTATGGTGAGTAATTTCGATTTATGATGTTAGATATCTCCTGACAAATTTCTCCTACTAAGAATCTTACTAGTGTAGAAGTAACTGCAATATTTGGGTGTGGGCTAATGTCAAGTATACTTTATTTTTCCCACACAAAAATATGCATTTGACCCATTCTTCAGTGCCACTTGGGCAATACATGAAGGCCTATCTCCAGACTGAGTTGACTTGGTCAGTACCAAGTTTGAAATGATGTATCTATAACTTACAGAGCCTTTTATTCTTATTTACTTGTCTAATAACTTTACCGTTGAATATTGAAATTTTTGGTTACAGTATTTACGAAAATCCCATCAAAGTTGTAGATGTCTTGAAAAAATGGGTCAAGCTAATTCCTAAGAAAGTACCTTCTAAATGAAAAAGAAAAACACCAAAGACTTAAAGCTGGAACATTCAGTGCCCATGACCTCTGCTGTCAAAACTTGAAGATAAATTATGAATTACAACAGCTTTTCTAGCAACACCATGCCCCTCCCTCTCTCGGTCCCTCTCTCCCTATCTCCTCCTCCTCCTCCTCCCTTTCTCTCTCCTTCTTGATCAGTGCTGTGCCTGTCTCTTCTCTTGTGTGAAAGTGAGACTCTGTGGAGGTGACACATAAAAACAAGCTGAGAATCAGTTTCTTGTCTCATTATTTTCATATCCTGGATTTCAGAATCTGAATACATGAATACACATTGTTGTTGTTGGCAGCTATTCCTTTGATGGTCACATTGACAGTCCACTATGAACACTCAAACTCCATCTGTACCAAACCAGAGAGAAGGTTCAGGAATATAACTGCATCCTCCGTTTTTTCATAGTGTTTCTTTACCTCCTGTGAATTGTTTAGTTGTGAGTAAATATTTTTGAAACTGTTACTTAATTTCACAAAAATTAACCTATTTCTTTCCATGTTTATGAAACCATTTTTAACCAATAAAAACACTCATAATGAATCAAATGCTAGATAGACATGTTTAATGCCACACTCTGGAACATGCAGGTATCGCAATAGCATCTTCATAGACACACCATAGGCAGCGCTTCCTTTAAGTCACTTGGTTTGACTATGACACTATATATTTCAACAATGAATTTAAGCCATTATACTGTATCAGAAGTTATATCAATACAAAAAGTACACAGTAACAGTAATACATGTAACCTTTTTCATATGATTAAATAATATAACCACTGAATCTAACGCTAATAAGATCATTTTGTCCCTATGCCTTATTTTCCCATTTGGTGTATCCTGCTTCGAATCATGCAGCTTTAGAAATGATGCTATTACACCAGGGCTTTCAAAGTTCAAAACTGTGTTCTTTTTACAGGAACACTATGTGAGATTTTGCCTCCCAGCTGCAGTTTTTGACCACACCCAGGAGCTACAGTTTAGACATGGCTGCGGCACAACATTGGCTGATTAACAAGACAGTGGCGTTTGTGTGTGAGTGTGTGTGCCCACTTAATAAATCATGTTATGAGTCTCTGGGCAGGGTTTATAATGTAATTTTCAGATCTTATTCTATTTTGATGGTTCAACATTAGGATGTTTGTCTGTCTGTCTGTCTGTACTGCTCAGCTATTGATTGAACTGCCAGGAAGAGAGCGCAGTGCTATTGGACTCTTTGGATGAGAAATACATACAAAAATGACTGTATAATGTTTACTGCATACGTATGTGTCATTATTTGTAAGATACACATTTGATCAGGAAGGCTTAAAAATATCTAGACTTTTATTGGGTTTAAGGAAAATAACTGAAATTTCAAAAAGCATATTTATAATTCTACCATTAGTTTTTGCGTTTGAGTTTTTAATAGTATTACATCATCAGTCTCTAAAAAAATTGTTCACACATTCAAGTATTAAACATAGACTCAAATTGAAATGATGAAAATTATGACTTATTTAAGATGTACTATTTCTGATTCACAAAACTAAAAGATCTTTTTTATTCTTTATTTTATTCATTGTACAGAATTGATCCAGTTTGTTTTATAAGAGATAGGTACAGACCTGCTGCCTGGTGACTGATTTGAGCATTGTTGAAACATGTAGTGAGTGGCTATGCTCAGCTCTTGTTGCAGACTGTGTGTACCTTTATGAGCTCATATTTGCATATGCGTGGGGTGCTGAATTAGGTAGAGGAGAGAGAGGAGCACTACAGTTAGCACAGCGGGCAGAATACTGATATGTACAGACTCCACTGTATGAATCTGAATAGGAGTGAGTCTTGATTACTGCAGAGGCTCAGTCTGCATACTAATGGGCCTTCCACTGTGCGTATCATAGGGCTGGTTTGCATACAATGGCAGCTATCAGGAAACCACGGTCTATGCTGCTCCTTGTTACTGATTTTGCACAAAGCTGTTGATTTCTCTGGGGAACAGTTCTTAGAAAACAGCTTCTTGTCACTTACAACATTTAGCCTCTCATAAATATATATGCTGTGTAATGAAGGGCTGTGATTTCTAAACCTACTCTTCACTTTTCATCAGAGTATTTCACAAGAGGTTTAACTTAAATGCAAACAAAATCAGAAACCAGAGAAAATATGATGTTTAATCTTAGTGTGGAAACACAGTATGAACATTTGAGCTGTAAAATGGACCTGCATTATGTATTTTGCTTGTTTAAAAGTACCTTGGCATAGGTAGGTTGTAGTTATTTTATTCATCTATCTATACTTTACTGACAGTAACACAATAGCGTGCTTTTATACAAATCAATATATTAAGAGCCTATTCTCTGCACAACAAAGTGTTTGCAATAGCCTGGCATAGTGGAATCAGATTAGATGACATTTCAGACTGTACAGCATGAAGGGAACATAACACTATACAAACCAAATAGTGAAGTCCAAGTTCGTTTTCAGAAAATGCATAATGTTTACCTTTTACCGGTAATAGCCTCACTCCAGAGCTGGCCATTCACAGTATATTACCAGAGAAATCAATAAAGCTCTGATAGATTTTCCAAAATAAACAGAGCACCACACAGCATCTCAACCATTAGGGCCTAGTCACAACAAATAAATATGATAATGAAGAAGATAAATACAACTGATGGCTAATACGATGCGGTAGACCTCCTGTTTGAATGCAAGATGTATTGGTTTATTGCCATACTGTGGAAAATTCTAAGCAAAACAATAACATCTCCATTGAGACAAGCAGGTGACAGATTCTCCACTAGAAAAGTTGCACAGTACAGCTTTATATTTCATCGTTAAAGCATATTCGGTACCATTTGCCATCATAACAGACAGTGGCTCACAGGGTTCAAGCAAATAAAAATAAAATGACGATATTATTCAGGCAAGCAATCCCCAGACTATAACAGGAAAACCAAGATAAGCCCTATTCATATACATTACCACGCTTTATCAATTTAACCATCAGTATATTGTGTCCACACAGTCTCCTGTCTGCAAAAACAACTGGGACAAGGTCAGCGTGTTGATTCCTCACCAGAGACATGAATTATTCAATAGATGTGGCGACGCATAAAATATATTACCAGCTATAATCTATGGTACAAAAGAGGCCATTTGGAGGGACTGCAGGGCTGCAGGGGGTAGGGGTGTGGCTTCCTTACAAAAATATAAAATAAAATAAAAGAATACAATATGAAAGTCAAATAAAAAGACCTGTCGAAAAATGGAGAGGTGTGAGACCAGATAAAAGCCTGGAGTGACAGACAGCGGTGGAGCGGGGGTATAAAGTAAAAGAGGGTGCGTTAGAACGAAGGGGCAGGGCAGAGGAGATCAAAAACGGGTTGCCATGGTAACAAATGGATGCAGGGTGACTGGAAAAGAGCGCGTTAATAGAGACTATGGTACACCTGCATGGGGGATATGAGATGGTTATGTTGATGCCTAAAAAAGTAGGAACATTTTTTGAAAGATTAGAAGACAGTACTAAGTATAAGAAAAAAATGCATATACAGTCTGTGAATGTTGAAAATGTTGACAATGCGGCATGGTATAGTCTAAAAACAGTATGGTTTTAGGAATCTTGCAGTATAAGTTATTCAATAAAACTGACAAAACTACACAAAATGGTGGAAGGGAAATATTTAGCAAACATTTTAAAAGACATTATGAGGTATTAGAGATTGTCTATGAGATATCCACAGTAGAAGAACTTGGGTATGGACTATAGGTTTACACAGCTGGTTACAACAAACTAACAAACAAATCTAAATGTGTATCCATCAGGCCATCTTCTCTAAACAGGATATGAATTTGGACTCAATCCAAAGCCTTGGTTACTGTGTAGACACGTAGCAACAAGCAGACATACAAGAAAATGACCCTGAGATAAAATTTTAAAAAACCCAAACAAAAAACCAAAAACCAAAAAACACATGCTGCCCTTATCATACTCATGTTACCTTGTAAAGATACATAACATAACTTAGCTCAGATGCAAACATACAGACATGCTTGTGATTTAAATACTGGTTAATCATGGTAAATGCATAAATATGTGATCAAATATGTTACAAAAGTAATAAAATATGATAATAGTTACCTGATCAGTGTCAAATGTTACCTCTGTAGCTACATAAAAACAGTGGACAGCTCTATGTTCTTGTGCCTCTCTATTCTCTAACCATCTCTGCCTCTGCACTGCGGTCCCACCCCCCGCTCCAACGCAGCAGCTGGAGAAAACACGGAGAGCAGACTACACGGCCGCGGATCTGGACTGACCAAGGAGCAGAGTGCTAATCATAGGCAGGAAATAAAAGCATGATGTCATCCAATGTCTGATCAGCAGTGACCCCAACAGGTACGTCCTTTTGAAAGGCACAAGCAGATGGAGGAGATTAGGAAAACACTACAAAGGCAGAGGAGAGATAAGGGAGGAAATCTACTTTGTGCAATCAGGAGATCTACCAAAAGGCTTTTAATCACTGTCAGGAGGTCTGATTGTTCCAGCCC